ATATATCCAAGTGGTCTGCTTCGTCTCTCTGAGTTCCTGGTCAAAAGAACTGAGAATTAGCCTTCAGGACAGTAACAGGCAGCAGCTATAATGGAAAAGCTCCTCCATACTCAACATAACAGCTTTGTTATCTGACACCTAACTAATGTCTTCCCCCCGCCTTCCTTTGTTTTTCCCCTCCCTCCATCATGTACTGTATATACCTGTAGACTCCTGCAGAGAGCTGCAGGGCTTTCTTTAACCTGCTGTTTTTCTGTCTTGAACAAGAGGCTGTACAAGACAGGACAGAGAATTGTAAAGTTAAACTACAAGTTTGCAGGTTGTTTTTCAGTTAAGAGGTGGAGAAACCTCCATGATTATGTAATTTGGACAGTATGTTTTATGTTTTAGCTACAGTACTCAGTGGATCAAACTGTCTCAACAGCCTTGGTCACTGTCCTTACAAATTAAATTTTGCCTGCCTTAAAGGAAAAACAGATTATGCTTTAAAGTAGACTTCTAGTTGTTCTGAGCACAAAGTACATCAATGTTTCATTACTTCATGTTGTGTTATCCAGACAGTGCTGTTTATGGCCTAACTTGTTGTAATGGCCTATTATTATTATTATTACATTTTATTTATACACCATATTTCATGATACTCAAACATGCTTGAAACTAAGCTATCACTTTACTTTAACTGGCCTCTCTCATTAGCTCTATACAAACAAATAATGGTTGGGGGGGCCAATAGCCAAATGGTTACATGCAGCATATATGCAAGTACAATGTGCATGATGTTTGTAGTTCAAGCGTAACCACCGATTTATGTTGCAGGTCTTTCCTGTCCATCTCTCCACAACCCACTTAGCCCCATAAAAAAATAATAATAATGGCTAAAATGCCCAAAAATACTTGTAAAAAGAAACAGTTAATGGCTTATAACACACTATAATGTAGGTGTATTGTATGGGTATTTTAAGTGTTTTTATTTGTGTGCAGTATTTGTCAATGATATATCAGCTGTGTTACTACTACTTTTACTATTGTCATTCATTTTATCTTAATACACCGATCTCCAGAGTTATGGTTGTTGAAGGTGAAAGATATTTCCCAGTTACGCTTAACCAGTGAAACTCAGAGAGACGAGGCGGTCCAAGTGGATACAAAAAAACGTGCTGGTTTATTCAAAGAATCATAGGTAAAATTAACATAACACGTCCAGGTATCTTCCACCTCCAACACTGCGCGCAGGCAGATGAAGAATGAAAGACCCTGAACCCAACAGGCCTGTACATTATATCTGGTTTGGGCTAACCCCATTCTACACAGGCACGTCAAACCGTGGCGTCACCTGATATGCCAGCTTTACAGCTGACCGTAGCAGTAGTCAAAACATGGAGAAAATCAATGTGTGTGAGTGTTGATTAAGTGGTGTGTATCTAAGAACCTACAGGACATTCAGGGACATGTCCGGACATTAAGCCTAGGAAGATATTATGATTAAGATTACGGCTAAACATATCATAATAATAACAATAATCTGCTGACAGTCAAACTTTTCTATCTAGTTATCCTTGCCCATGTACACCCTGCTAAAATCTCATGACAATGACTAAGAGTTTAAACTAGACATCCTGTCTCCACTAAACATTTCTAATACAAGTACCTAACCATTATTTATCTGACTAAAAAAATACCTAACAAAGGTAAAGAAACCTGTTTATGTCTATACTGCTGTGAGTTAAGCAGCCAATACAAAGATTACAAAGTTGTGGAACTGGTTGTGGTTATCCACGTTTACACTTGTAGTACAGAAAACGACTATGCTGTTGCAAACTGCTAATGCTTCAATACAGCGAGTTGTTTTAAGTAGAAAGAAAAGATACAGGTATCGAATATATGCATCACTCACCCTGTCCTTGTGCCTGAAAGCTTGTTGCTGTTGCTATGTCCTCACAACCACGATATCATTTTCACTGCACATTAAATGAAAGTACACCTCGGTTCATGAGTGGATGGTTCTGACAACAAAGGAGTTTCATATGAGACTTCTTAAATGTTGTAATCTTTGTGAACATTAACTTCATATCCAATCAACTGTGAAACAGCTTCCCAGTATTTGGTAAATCTTTGCACCCAGATCATTTTCTTGGTGGCCAGGGACAAAAGCACTGAAACACAAGTGCTGAAATCTGATCTGTATGTATTCCAGCGTTTGTTAGCAGTAAAATGTCACAGCCACCTAGCTGTGTAACATGGGTTGGGAGAATATTCCAAACAAATTCATATTGACTGTCTCTTCAAACTGAAGGTTTGAATGCAAGCCTGCAGGTAATTCCAGTTCACTGTGAATTCGGGTTTGTTTGTTGAATGGTGTTACACTACATAAAGGAGCTTGAAATCCTAGTGGCAACAGAATGGCTCAATATATATCTTTAAACAAGAAATAGGCCTAAACACAGTCATATGCTATATCCCTGAATGGAATTTTATAATATCTGGTGGGTAGTCACATGAACAAATGGAGATAACAGTGTCTGGGGGTAAATAAAAGGCAAACGACTTGTCCATAATGCAGGGAAGAATCATTTAGAAGTCCACTCAGTTAAGGACAGAAGAAAATACTTTTTTTTAATTATTTAAATTGTGATTTTTTATGTAAGTTGGTGTTTGTATTTATGTCCAATATACAGCAAACACTCATATCTGAACATAGCCAATATTTTAAATCATGGGCTGCATCACACTGTCCAAAGCATAGTGTTTTCCTATAGCTTTTTTGAGACTGTTATACGTTTTAGCTAAATTATGTTAAAAGAGTGGCATTATTCCAATAACCCCAGAAAAAATAAGGTGATCGCCTCTTTGTCCTTACTTACAACTGAGTTTACTGATAAAAGTTAAGAGTTAAATAGCCTTTTTTTGTAAGTCAATATCTCCATCTCCTGTACAAGGTAATGCATAAATGGGGGCGTATTAAAATCTGTATTCAGTATAGGCTTTATGAAATTAATCCTGATATGTAGAATTTATTGTTTCCCGAGCTCTTCACCAAGGAAAGCACACAGTGCTCCGCATAAGTTTTCTCAAGGCACTGGAGAAATAAAGTTAGCGCTGTCAAAGTAGCGTCTGTGGACATGAACGAATGTCTCCGTGCTGAAATGTCTGAAATGGCTTCAACACTAAGGTGGAGCACCGCCGCGGTTGTTTCCGCTGAAGTCATGATTGGATTGCATGCTCACAATGGAGCAAGTAGACAGTGACAACACTGCGAGGAGGTTGCACAAGAGAACGCATAAGCTACGAGCTATAACCACACGTATCCTACCGCCATTACCCCAAGCTGAAATACAAAAGACTCGGCTGGGAGAGCACACACCCCTCTCTCAATCCTCTGCCTATACACATGCCTCATTTTCTCTTAACAGCTGTGTTAAATATACAGAATTTGTCTGCTTTTAACATATAGATGTATGTGAATATGTTGCATTTAGGCTGAAATAAAAGCCTTTCTAAGGCAGATTTAATGATAAATTTGTCTGGTTACAGCAGATTGGTGCACATTAAGACAAATAGCTCGCCATATTTGTTTGACTGACGTGTAACGTACTCAGTCAGGAAGGAGCCCAGATTTCAAATCGCGTTGCTGACCGCTGTGTCGTCCTATGAGTAGGCAGCGGGGGCGGGACACAGCCCCGTTGATCATGCGAGAACCATAACGGTATGAATTGGGAGGGAGGGGGAGAATCCAATCCGGTTTGAGCTAGTTTTTCTTCCAATGGAACATTAACGTTTCGCTGCGCTGTATTAGACTGTACTGGTACAGCTTTATCCAGTATATTCTTCTATATACAGTAACATTTAGCTCTTTTCTCGTTTTTGAAAAAACACCCCACACAAACCAACCATGCCTAAAAGGAGCAAAGTGAGTAAACCGATATCTTTCATGCATTCGGTAATACAGAATTTATAACCCACAACTGCAATTTGTAAAAATGGGCTTGTTACAGCTGGCAGTCGGGGCTGCTAATATGTTGCTACAGATGTCAGTTTTGTGTTCCGAGTGAATGTCAACAGTGTTGCTCCTGTCAGCCAAGAGTTTAGTTGGTAGGTAGCGTCTGTTTTGATTTTCTGAACTGGCTGATTCCTGGTCTTGCCTCTCGTGCAGCGAGTATCTTTGTGCGAAATGGATTTCCGTATATCATTTTTTTCAACCGCAGACTGGTGACATGCACAAATGCATTTGTGTTTAAATAGTTTACTTGCAGTGTAGGACGAGGCGGCTTTCACTTTGTAAATAGATTGCTTTTCTGCAGAGAAAGTTGGCGGCATATTGATTGTTTCCTATGGAGGTTGTCGCGGTTGATGCTAAAGTTTCTCGCAGAGAAAATAGAATAGAAATTTAAAACGTTAATATCAGTAATAGCAGGTGTTTCGGTGGGAGTTTGACTGTAATGTTAAGGTTGTTGTTTTTCTATAGGTACAGTGTTGTTTATAGCCTTCTCGCTGACCAAAAATACTTTTAATATGACGTCTTTTCATAAACCTAGTCTTAATGCACGACCCGCCTTATTTTCATCTGTAAAAGTGCGTTTTTCGGAATTCGTTCGTCGTGCTAGCTGGCTGTCTTTTTGTGTATTGTCGGCTCAGGCCAGTTGTAGGTTATGCAATGGCGAGCCTCCGTCAGCACAGCGTTGCTCCTGTTGCTGGGGGTTCTAGTAGATTCTGCTCCCAGACCGAGAGAGTCGCTGAGCATCTCGGAGTGACTCTTTTCAAATTTATGGCGGGAACACTCTCTATACTGCTCGCTTTTCTCCGTACACTGGCAGCATGGACGTGTCGTGGGGAGGCGGAGTCCGCCCCCCCTTTACAGGCTGCGTTGTGCAGACCGCCTCAAGCCACGCCCCCGTTATGTCACTCATTTCGCGCCTCTCCGCTCACGCCCCTCGCGATACGTCATTCAAGTTACGCCCCTCCAGAAACACAAGAAGGGAGAATAGGTTAGCAACTGTTAGCTGGATTAGCGCCTTTACTTAAGTTACACAGTGGAATGTACAACAGGTTTAGCATTCCAGTCACTTAGCATTCAGGAAGCCACAGAGAATAGATGCATAGTTTTCTAACCCTGTAGTTAGAAAAGTTCATGATTTGATATTTTCACTGCCTTATCTTCTTGTCAGCCCATGCTGACAAGGAACTGGAGCTGTTGTATAAAATCTATACTGTCTTCAAAGCCACCAGACTCATTTGACAAAACAATTAAAACAGCAGTGGCAGACCAGCAGTTCCTGTATTCTGCGAGATTAAATTATCCTACTGTCTTTGTCAGTGGAGTCTGATGGCTTTAAAAGGTCTCCTGTGTTCTTGCAAGGTAAAATTTGTGTTTTTGTCAATGGAGTCTGGTGGTTTTCAGAGAGGGCTATCTGAGGCAAGACAAAGAGGTGCAACTAATCGTGCCGATGGTAACGTGAGTGGCTATATATAGAGTAACATTAATCCTAAACAAACAATCCTCTGCTTTACTGTTCATCATCATATGTAGTCACTCTCACACTGGCAGGCTAAGGAGCTAATGGTAGTTATCATTCTTCTCTCATCTTATGCTTCTGTAGAGGTGTAACTTTAATGTATCATGAGGTGCATGAGTTGAGTGATGTAATGTGGGGCAGTCTGCATGATGCAGCTGGACCCTATTGCCTCCTCCACCGGACATTCAAAGTAAGCAAATCATATGTGGTAGATGGGACAACTAAACCACATGATGCAGTTTAAACTACATTATGCTAGTATATTGCACTGTTAGACTAGGACTCAAAGGTTATAGTCTAGCAAACTGGTCTTTGTGACTAATGCAGTGCACAAAGTTAACTTGTTAATGAGTGTGAACATGCTAATGAGCAAGTCTTAATCATATGGCTTTGCTATTTTCATGCACTACGCTTCTCTCTAGTGCAGCACAGCGGCACGGTTGTTGGCACTGTTGCCTCACAGCAAGAAGGCTCCAGGTTCAAGCATGGGCCGACCCGGGGCCTTTCTGTGTGGAGTTTGCATGTTCTCCCTGTGCCTGTGTGGGTTCTTTGCGGATACTCCGGCTTCCTCCCACAGTCCAAAGACATGCAGCTTAGGTTGACTTGGGACTCTAAATTGCCCACAGGAGTGAGTGTGAGTGTGTGTGGTCGTCTGTCTGCCTGTCGACCCTGTGATAGGCTGGCGACCTGTCCAGGTTGTATTCCACCTTTCGGCCAATCTCAGCTGGCATTGGCTCCATCCCCCCACAACCCTATTCAGGAATAAGCGGTGTAGATAATGGATGGATGGTAGTTTCTCTCCAGGTCATGTGGTCCATTGTGCAGGATTTTAGAACATATCTCAGAACTATGTATATTATGTATGAAGCTGGATGTACAGCTGTAGGCTAATATTCCGCCGGGACACGCCCACTTTTGAATTACATAACGGAAGTTACAGATGTAACTATAGTTTTGTGAATTCCTGGATGAATGACAGTGGCAGCCAGGAAGGAGTGAAACAGAACAATTACTGAAAGCCCATACCCCACTCCCCATCGCCAATTAAATCCACCATAGCACAGCAGGGTGCAGACAATTTCCTTAACCTTGTTTTTTGTTTCCTCACAGGTAGGTGCAGGAAGTGACTCAGCGGTAAGGAATAAACAGAACAAGATGCTTTTGTTTTTACCACCTTCAAAATAATGAAATAGTCTGTGCACCCACCAGGGGTCAGTAGCGCCCCATCAATAAGAGACATTGGCTGATACTGGATGTTAAAGTAATCACCTTGTCTGTTCCCTTGCTCTGTAGCCGAAGAGGAGATCTCTCAGGTTGAAAGATGTAAGTGCTAACAAGCCCACACTGACACAGACAATATAACTGTCGTTCACTACATTTTTTTGTAGTATGATATAAATTGTTTTGTTCCTCACAGAGACCTGCACCTGCTAAGGCAGAGCCCAAACCTAAGCCAAAGGTGGGACCTTGTTTTGATTACTTGTGGTTAGACCGGACTGGACTGCACTGTTAATTCTAAGCGACTAATGTGGTTGATATTTTTGCGTGCAGAAGGGGCCTGCTAAGGCTAAGAAAGCCAAGGATGTGGAGAAGGCCAAGCCTGAGGAGAAAACACCAGACGCCCCCGCTGAGAATGGTGAAGCCAAAGCTGAGGATGAGGTAAAGTTTAGGTCATCATATATAAATGAGCAAAGTAAAGCTTATATCCTTGGTGATCTAACTTTGACACTCTAAATCTTGTCTTACAGGCAGCAGCTACAAATGCATCTGAACAAAAAGATGAGGCAGCCGAATAACATCTCTCAAACCACATCTTTTACAAGTGTTCCCTGTACCTCTTTTCTTGTACAATTCAGGGGAATATTTTTATCAACTATTTTCTAAATACAGGTTTTTTAGTAGTTTGACTGTAGAGAACACTTTTTTTTAATGAAAGAAAAAAGTCAATTTGCAGACGGGAGTTTCATCACATCCCACAATTTTGCATTGCCATAAAAATAAAATTCGTGGTCATTGTTGTTACCCTTAGTGGATTTCATTTTGGTTTTAAATGTGAAGGGGGGAGGGACAAGTTACCGTGTCAGCATGCAAGCACAGCATTCACGGGAGCTGGGGCAACAACTGCAAGAGTTTGCCTGTGTGGATAACATTCCAAATGCTTTATAAGGGACGGTGTATGCAATCTGTGCTGGGGTGGGGATGGGCAAAGTCACAGGGCAACTCATTGTTTTATTGTTCATAATTAAGAACAGTGTTTTAGAATGTCTGTAAGCTTTGTTCCGATGTTAACTCTTGTACTCCTGCGGTTTTCTTAATGAATCTGATCAATAAACCTAAAATTGATAGTATTGGAGCTCTCCTTATCAGAATGGTGCTTCGTGTGTGTTGGTTGTGTCTTTGTTCTGTAATAGCATCACAATACATTTGTATATCTCCTGTGAAAAGGGTATCCGATCTTTCTATATGCAGTGTCTAATGGTACATTGTAAGGATGGTAAAATGGAATTTGTTTTCCTAGCCAAGCTAATGAGGTGTGTAACCATACAAACAAACTTATTGAGATTGGCTTCTTCAAGGCCAACAGAAAAACTGTACATTTGTTTGAGATGTCAAATGCATAGCAGCAGTAGCAATATTCATGTGGGTTTTAGGCATCTGTATCAAGTACAAGTGTGCTTCTTTTTGTTTATAGATGTACCTGTGTAATGATTGTTATCAACAAACCAATAAAAGTTGGTTGATAGTTGTTACACTGTTTCACTCTGAAGGTTCTTGATTAAACATTACCCATTGAGTACTGTAAAACTGGGTCTGTCAATGGGCTAATACATTTAGTGAATGAGGCTTCATCCAAAAAGCAGCATGTCACTAGATTCAGCATTCATGGTGATATTAAAGTAAGACTTTACCAAAGGGAAATTCACATGGTGAGCCAGTGCCATAAAGGCACTACAAAGAACTATTTACATTTAACAGCTATATATGATTATATTTGCAGCAGTACATTAGACTCTAGTGTAATAGTGCTAATTAGATCCACTATGCAAACATGATGTGTGTGATGTACCGTATAGAGACCTACTGTACGTGTATGGATAATAACTATTGTATATTATTAACAAGTCACTGAATGATCAAACATTTTAGTGTGTAGTTCAAACATCAAGGTTGTTAGGGTGAAAGGTCTTAAAATATAAAATGCAAATATTCTGTCACCTATAAAGCCAATCTCTAAATGGTGCTTTTACAGCCCGGTGGTGATACTATGCACAAACGCCAGACTAGTTTCAGCACCATGGACAGTTTCACATTGGACTGTTGTTTCTCCTGCATTCATTTTTGCTTTTTCTCACATCACTGTGCATTTACATCATTTTTTACAAAATTATTTAGCTTCTTTGTTAGTAAACAAGTTGCAATGGTCATGCACACTTATATATCTTTGATTGAATTCCGGTAGGACGTTCTCTTCTACTCTATGTGTTTAGTCCGACCTACATGAGTTGTGATTAGTCCAGAGAAAAGAACAAAGGGCTAACAGCAGAAAGAGACATCATGTAACCATTAAACATCCTTGCTTACACCCTAAAATGCCAGTTGTCATATTAACTACAATAAAAACTTGTGTAACAGCTTATTTAGAAGACCACCTCTGATTCTTTATCATTAGTAGACCAATGAACCTATTAGTCTTTGAGCTGCTAAAATTATGGCTTCATTATTTATACAGGAAACAACAACCGCCCCAGTGTAATGCAGTTATCTTCTAATAACAGCAAACACATTTTAATGTATTTGTAGTGGTCAAAAATACTTGTACAAGTACTGTTTTCAATGAGTTTAATATTCTCATTTACGATGAAACTATTGTAGGTTTACTCTTTATTCCACTACATGTATTGCACACCTAAAGTCACTAGTCTCGTTTCAGATTAAATTTGAAGATAATTTAAAAAAGTAAAAATAAACTGATCACCTTGGTTTAATATTCACCCATCTATCTTTGTCCTCTTTATCCGAGACCTGGTCGCAGTGGCAGTAGTGTTTAATATCATGCATTGTTGTATTAAATCACTAATTCCCAACCATTTTTGTTTATAAGCCCTGACAAAAAGCAGTGGCTAGTCAGGGCTTCATGTCATATTTGAGATGTCTAAGAGAGGTAAAAAAAAAAAAATGTAAAAATTGATTTTTCTTTAAATACAGAATCTTGTTTTTTTTTTCTTCTTTCTTACAACCTCCTCAAATTAATTTCAGAGGAGGCCTGACCTGCAATCATATTTATTTGTCAGGTAACACTTTACACTTTGTAAGGGTGCATTAAATAACAGTACTTAATACAGTAATACACATTAACTAATAGTAACTGCATTTTATTAATCATTTACTACTACTACTACTCATACATTATTTAATAGCTTTTAATGGCACTGCTAACATTAGTTTATACAGTAATAAGTAATAAAGTTAAATAATACAATAATAAGCATTAAATAACTTGAATGTCTCTTGGTAACTACTGCTAGTAAATAATCAATACAGATATTAACATGTACTTCATGAAGTTCACAGCTTAGCAGTTTCATTAGGAGAAGGCTGTTTTAATGTTCATTTAAGAGTAATAATTGTCCATTTACTTGTCCACCCTCCAACCTATTAATTCACTTTGTCCTCGCTCCACTTTCATCTAAGATGGTACAGTATCTTCCAGCTTCTGATTGTCTGAATACACATGATCCAGGTATGCAGCAGTGGGTAGGGCATGGATAGTTGGGAAACATGCACGGTGGTAGCTCTCGAGGACCTGATTTACCCATCCCTGCTGTATACTGTAAGCATTACTTACCCTTAATTAACCATTTAATAATGCTCTTTAAAAATGTACAACAGTAGTGAGTAACCATTACTTAACCTTAAGTAACCAATGCATGCAAAGTCAGTTATTTGTCATAGTCTTTGTAAACAATGGTTAGGAAAGTAAAAAAGACCATATGCATGTTCTGGATGCACTTCATCTGTGACAATACTTCTGCCTAGACAGACAATACATTCTCCCAACTTGATACGCAATAATATAAATAGCATTTAATAACATCTAACCTGTGATTTTGTCAACATCTGCATCATAGCAACTTCTTTTCATTTGTTTCATTACCACTGTTTGGCACACAACATTAAGCATATTATAGCTGTTGTTCTCTCAAATGCATGTGCTGCCAGTTCAATGGCCCATGACCCAATTTCCCAGTAGAGATTATTTTCATCTTATCTACTATAATTAAATGTTATAGTGCAAGTGCAGAAATACAAAACCCTTGGAATATAAATAAAAAATATATACCCAAGTTATGGTATATTGATATTAGAATGAATGGTCAGCCTGAAGGGGTAGTATTTTCATTGTATTGCAGGACACTTACTGATACTTTTATGTGAAGCTTCCTGTTATGGTCTGTGTTAATTTGAGCTGCAGCACTAACTTTTTAAATTATTGGTTGGAAATTAAAGTGAATGGGCACAGGATTTGTGCAAGTATTCTTGTCAGTCTTCATCAAGGCCAAAATGTCTGTTTCTTAGGTTGTAATAATCTGACTGTCCACTGGGTGGTTCTGCCAAGCTTCTAGAAGCTTACACCTTGAACAGAAACGTCCATTGCCACTAAAATTCATCTTGCCAAACTGCAACACGACTTTGTTTATTGAAACTTAATTAGCAGTGTACACTTGAGTTTATAGCGCTTAGACTGGTAAATAGTGTTCTATGACAATAAGATATTTGCAGAATATGTGTATTAAATGTCTCACTTGAAGAAGGGCTGGTTCATGGCAGCATCACAGAAGTAGTGACTGATATATGTGGTTAGAAGACATCTATCCCAGTCATCTGGGACATGGCCTCCATAGTTGACCCCAGCAATGAGCTATTTCAGTTCATCCCAGGGAATTTGCTCATAGTCATCAGGGTACCAACTCAGCAGATTCTCACTCACCTAGTAATAAAGACTAAAGGTAAAGATAAACTAGAAAGACATTTCAACTGTTGGTTTAAGTCATTATCCATTAGTCTAGCTGGCCTTCACTGTGAAGGCTATATAATGGCCTTTCTGCTTGACTTAAGTTTGTAGTTGAGTGAGGATTATTAAGATAGAAAACATAAGCTTTGCATGGATTTCATTCGCTTCCATTATCCAAGTGAACCTTTGCTTGCAAAAGGAGAAAGCCTTCCTGTTAGATGAGATTGAGGAATACAGAGCCTGCAGTGAAACTGAGCACAAGGATCTACTGGAAGAGAAGAACGATCTCACGGCAGCACTAAAACACACTGAAGAACAGCTTGTGTCACCAAGTCCAGTGGCAAAAAGAGAAAGCTTACTTTGTTCATAGGTTGAACACATATAAAGAGCTCTGTATGGGTCAAACAAATGCCCCGAAGACCTAAAGAAGGCTCATATGAAGTACGAGCAGGACAAGGAAATGCACCTTCAGGCCACACAGGACCACCAGAGTTCCCTGCAGAGAAACGAGCAGGAGTGGGAAAGGACAGAGAGCTCTATGAAGGCCCAGCAGGAGCAACACAGAGCAGAGATCAGAAAGATGGACACTGAACTTAGAAAGGCAGGTCGTTCTGGCCTGTGCCTGGCTTTCCACTACTGATGCCTTCCCTGACATCCAGCCCAACATTGCCCAGTGCAATGTTTTTGTGAATAACTGCTCCAGACAATGTGATGTCAGTTTTACTTATTTTTTCTAAAGCATTTTTCCAGTACAGCCTGAAAAAATGTCAAGGTTTCATTTTAGGCCTTCAGTAAATTGATTGTCTTCCTTGTTGTTAAGAGTGTTACGGCAAACGGTACATGTGTGCCTGTTCGGACTCAGAAAAAGGCAGAACCCGGACTAAGGCTTGACAAAGTAAATGTATTTTACTGACAGAACTGAGAAGTGGTCAAAATCGGTCACGTCAGCCAATCTCAGGGCAGTGGGGAGTGCTGGGATGACTGGACTGCTAGAACTACAACCCAAGGTAGTAGGAGAGGCGCAGCTGGCTAAAGAAAACCAGAGGATGAGTAACAAGGATGCTATGGAAATGGCAATACTGATGGTATACTGAGGACCTGAGGAGCAGAATTTACTGGCTCTAGGCAGGTGAGCATCGTAGGCTACGAACACAGTCCAGGGGGAGGCGAAGGAGCTGGCATAGGCGATCACTGGTCTGACATGCAGTACTACCGTCGTGGTGAGGCTCAGGCTCACAGTAAATGACAGAGCAGGTAGAAGGGCAATGCGATGAAGGCTGACAGTTGAGATCCAGAGCTGCGCAACAAGTCCCAGGAAAAGTTGGTCTCCTCGTCCTGAG